CCCCGCACGGTGCCTCCTGTCCCCGCACGGTGCCCCCTGTCCTCGGGTCGGGAGGTGTCGCCGCTACGTGCAAAGGGTGCGTGGCACCTCGCGGCTGCTGAATTTTCCGTGTTGCAGCCGATACCTGTGAATAAAGTCACGGAGAATAAGCGGGGAGCTACTGAACTGAGAGATTGTGACCAAAGTCACCCCGCGTTTTCATATTCTAACATTACAAAAGAGAAACAGAAAAAACACACCAGTATTTCCAAGGTGATGTTGATTTGAGTGACTGCTCCTTAGTGGAAAGGAGACTCATTTTTGCTGCCATTTACAGCATTCGGTGTGCCTGCTACCCACCTTTTGCCCCAATTCAAAAGCAGTGCAGGAGAGCTGATTCTTGAATTTCCAGCATGGATCTGATGTAAGGGATTGCAATGACCAGCCTGTCATCTCAGGCTGCCCGGTCATCACCGATTTCACGGCGCACCACGTGGGTTCCTGAGCCTGCAGCAATCAGATCAAGCCTAATGCTTGCTGCTCTGCAGAGTGAAGCATAGATTCTTTCTCCCATTTCTCGTGAATAAAAGCTGTAGTTTCCCTTTATTTTCCGTTTGAGTTTTATTTCTGTTTCGGAGAAGGAGCATTCTTGCAAAGAACATGCACACATGAAAGGCAGAGCGTTTCTTCGACGCAGCGCTACCAAAGGTCTCCCTTTGCACAGTGTTTTGGCCTAAAGGCTTGCTCCGCTTTTGTGAGAAGCCACATTCGCTGTTTGAAGCTGCCACACGCGGTGTCGCGCTCAGATGTGCTCTGCGACTAAACCATGCAGCACGCTTGTGTTTGTTTATGGGGGAGAGCAGGTACACGGAGAAGGATGGGTCTGCAGAAGAAAATGGGGTTATTTTGAACTGCCAGATTGCTGCCCTGAGTTCCTGTACTTTGGGTCGCCACTGTGTAATACAATAGCTCTTTCACTCACTGAGATGAGAGCGTTTGTAAAAGAAAGTGTGTGAGGCTTAAAAAGAGAAAGATCAAGGGTACAGGCGGTAGGGACTGGAAGGACCTAGCAGTCACTTGGGCTGGTATTCAGAACAGGCTAAATTTGTCTGTTTGCAGATGTTATTCTCTGCCCACCCTAAACTCCGTGCTGAGACGAATACTGCTCCCCAAACAGGTAGCTGACGTGTTTTAGTCATGCCCTGGTAAAAGCACACCTTGTCCTTCGAAATGCAAGGTGGTGAAAAGGTTGAGGCTGTTCCAACGTAAGCAAGGCTTGCGCCACAACTTTGGGCCTGGCTTTTGTCAGCCTGTCCGTTCTCCTTAATAACTCCTGATTCTGCTGACCAAAGTTGCATCAAAGTGGGAGAGATCACCAGGATAACGTGTTTTCATAAGGATCGTGAAACTAGAGCTGGGTAGTGGAAGTGCCCCTACCTGTACTCCCAGTAAATCAAAAGTTGCCATGTGAGCTTCCCCTCTATTAATCACAGAGAATCCACGTGGATGATGAGAGTGGCTTTTCCCCCCTGGGGTGGAAAAAGCTTCAGTCGAAATTCACACTTTATTAGACACTGGATAATCCAAGCGTGAGGCACAAATCCATGGGCCTCATTAGTTCCCTTTCATTATTAAATTATTACCAGTTTCCCTGACAAAGCAGAAAGAAGCAGATATAGAATAGTAAGATTTATACTGATGCTTATTTGCAACGTTCGGATGTACCATTTCTTGGTGCTTGCATTCGAAAATCTAGTGCATTTCCAACACCAGAGTAGGTAATTCAGGTTTGTGTGGTGCTGCAGAGACTGCAGCAAATGTCCAAAGGCTTCACACAAAGCCTCTTTTCTGAACTCAGACCTCCACTGGAGTTAAGACTTACAAGGGACCTAAAGGGCAACCAGAAGAGCTTCTGCCAAAGCTTTGATAGTAAAAGGCTGAACAAGGAAAATGTTGTTGAATGGGGCAAAGAATCAATTAACAACGGAAAGAGATAAAGCTACGTTACTCAGGGTCCTCTGTGGTCGGCTTCACTGCAGCCCATGTGAAAATCCATGTCCTCTTAGAATAAACTCTGGGCACAGGAAGGATATGAAGGTGTTCAGAGCAGTCAGCATGCATTTGCGAGGGGTAAATCACACACCCCCGAGCTGAGTGCCTTCTGTGGTGAAATGACAGGGTTTGGGTATGAGGGTAGAGCAGTAGGTGTCATTTGCCTTGACTTTAACAAGGCTTATATTCAAATTAAGAATTTATGGTCTGGATGAGTGGACAACCGGATGTATGAAAGACTTGATGGATGACTCGGAGGATAGTATTTAATCGGCCGTGTTCTACCTGGAGGCCAGTGACAAGTACTGCAGTGGTCTATCCTGGGACCTGTCCCTGGGGCCTTAACATCTTTATCAAGGTGGAAGTGACAGAGTGCCCTCTCGTCAAGGCTGCAGGTGACACCAAATTGAGGTGACCGGTCAATGTGTTCAAGGCCAGAGCTGCCATGGACTTAGGCTTCAGGAACGAGCTGAAAGGAACTTCATGAAATTCAGCCAGGGCAAACTCAATGCCATGTGTCTGGGGCAGATTGGTATCTTGACTGTTGACCATGACCATGACTGTCTCTCTGGGAACCAGCACTGCTGAGAAGAGCCCGGAGGTCGTAGGGGACAGTATATGAGCAGGGTCCAGCCCCGACAGTGGGGAAGGCTAAGAGCACCCAGGAGGGCATCAGCAGGAGCACGGCCAGGACACCCAGCAGAATGACTGTCGTCCTTGCTTGGCACTCAGTAGACTGCGTCATGGTAATTTCCACCACTGCATAGTAGCTCCATCATGCTCCAGGTCTCTCCAAAAGGTCATAGCCACCACAGCCAGTGCTGAGCTGGGCGAGGAGGGCCTCAAAGCCAGGAGAGTTTCTTAGTGCGGTTTTAGTGCTGGGGAGGAAGAAGGTGTGCGCTTCCTGCTGGCACTGGAGAGCTGCGATTCCAGCTGGCGCCAAGGACAATTAGAGAGTTGCTGTCCTCTGTGACAGAAGCATGTGCTGTGTCTCCTCACTCCTCGCTTTTAGAGCAAAGAAACCAACTTGGCTGAGGATATAAATAGTTGAGGTGAACAGACAGAAGCTGGGGATGCTGCAGCGACAGGAACCCTGTGATGTGGCACTGCCCTACTCCCCTGCCTGACTCACAGCAGCCAGAGGGGACAAAAAATGAGAATGAGACCCAGCATCTGGTTTCTCTGAGACCTGGTTAGCACAGACACAATGCAGAAGCTTTGGCCTTCCTGTGGTGCCTTGTCTCACATGTCGTTCCAGCGAGCCAGTACCATCCACAGGCTCTCTCTTCACTGAAATAAGAACAGAACATTAAAAGAAAATCCAGCATAAAAATGGTGACTGAAGTCAGATATTATGTGGCCTCCTAATGCCTTAGTCCAAATGCATAAAAATGTATGAATCTGTCAGGAAAGGTAGAAGCCCAAGGTCTGTGGACATGCCGTTAGTGTTTTAGGTGATAAACTAATTAAACATAGTAAAGTTAGGAGTGGTTCTAAGATTAGTGATTTGCATTCCATTTCACTTATGGTTTTGGGCTTGGCTGAAGTTATTTAGGGATTCCCAGTAACTCTTCCAGGAGAGCCAAAGGAAGGAAAAAGTGAGTCAGCTGCAGAAAAGAATTTCCTTAGTGCTAACATGTTACGTTGTAGTAGTCATGAGTTAAACTCCAAAGAACTATCTTTAATTCTCTGCTCTGGGAAAGGCTGGGAGGTCTTTGGGAAGAAATGCAGGGGTCTCACTGGCCAATGAAGACTCGGCACAAACAGATTTCTCTGAGTTCCCCATTCAGCTTGTCAGGGTAGAGGGATAAAGCAGGTAGCGATGACCCTACAGGAGAAAGGGAAGGTGAAGTTTAGGAACAAGTATCCTTAGATTTCTGAAGAACAAATCCATGGTGAAAGACTCTCTGAAAATAATTTGTAGAAAGGATTCTTTTCAATTTCTCCATGCAGTACAGGGTTTGAATACACTACACAATGGGACATGCTGCAAATCAATTATAAGTTTGCTGCTACAGGAAAAAAAAAGTATGCAATTAATCCATGTTAAAATCAAAATTAGAATTCTGATCCTGTGACCAATTAATCTACCCCAGTGTTTGTTACTGAAGCATAAGTGCTAATGGCTAGAACATGACCTATATATTCCATAGCAGCACTTTTATAAATGAAATAAGGCCATTATGTTCTAAAAAGCAAATATTCAAAAGCTTATTACAGTGTTATCATTGTTGCTCATTTTTAGGTATGATCAAACATGCCTTACCTAGTGAAGGCTCCTTAGGAATTTCTGCAGCATGTATCACTGCTTTAACAGTAGTAGCTCCTTCCATGCACTTAAAAGAAAGCTTAATTACATCCTGTGCCCTGTAGAAAATGACTAGACGGAGCACGGAAACCTGTATCTGAGGACCTGTAAGACCACATCTTAGCAATGTAATGCCACGGATTTAAAAATAAGCAATTTCTTAGAAGGCAAGCTTGAGAATTGCATCTTTGAGGGCAATTGTAGTCATGGGACAGCTGTAATCATGTTTTACGCAGCCAAATGTTCCATGAAATAACTGATGTTCACTTAAAAGGGCCATGTTGCCAGTTTAGAAGTGCAATGATTTAGTTTTGAAATAAAACATTACAAAAATTCATAGTTTAGAGAGTTTTTTTCAGCGTGATAATCAGAGGTTGACTAAATATCTACACATCTGTGTGTAGCTCTGCAGCAAAGGCAGCCAAAATAATCTGTGCCAGTGCAGGAAAACCAAAAGGTTAAAGCAATCTAGTTTAATTTGCCTGGTGGAGGGAAGAGAGAAGGGCAGGTTCACTTTCCAGTCTTAGCAGATTGTAAGTGCACATGCCAAAGAATTAACAGCTCCAGCCCTGGCCTGTGCTTCCCCACCAGTACTGTGGAAATTATATCCACCTACACCTCATCCTCAGTCTTTAAACCATGAGACCTTCCTGATGTTTTGTTGTGTTTTTGTTTTGTTTTCCCCTTCCTTCCTTTCTTCCTTCCTTCTTTCTTTTGCTCATCATATTTCTACAGTTACTATCTAGTTTCTCAATTCAGGGGGAAAAGAGAAAAAATACAGTTTTGTTGTAATGACTTGCTCTTGACAGCCAGTAGGTGCACAACAAATTGGGGTTTTTGGAAGAGAGAAAGGAAAGAACCATTTTCGAAGAAGTTGTACCTTAAGAAAAAAAGAAGAAGAAGAAGAAATGCAGCTTCAGAAACTGGCTTATTAGATCATATAGCATAACTGAATAAGGGGCTTATCACATCATATAGCAATTGAAAATTAAAACAATGCAAAATAACTATGCATGATTATTTGAAAAACCAAAAGGTTTGCTTTGTTTCAGATAGTAAACTTTGTGCTGTTGGCAACTTGGATATGTTCTTTAGCATCATTTCCCATTTTGCAAAGAAAAATAATATTTGAGCCACTTCTTGTTTGTTTGTTAATCTCCAGGTTTAACTCAAAATGAAAGGCAAACCCAAACATAATTGAATGCAGAAATTTAAATTCCTTTTCTATGTTTAAACAATGGCATTCTCTTGCTCAAGCCCTGGTAAATAACATTTGTTGTCCATTTGCAAGAAGGGTATTATAAAAAGAAAGAGGATGTCGTTGTTCCTAATTAGAACATTCATTCGAAAGGGTTGCCAAGCTCCAAGATGAACGCAGGGATTTCTCTGCGTTCCTACAGTGACTATTTTATAGCTGAGATGAATTTGCCTGTGACATCTCTGGAACTATGTCATCGTTTTCCTGAGGTCGCACTGGGCCCTTTCCTGCCAACAGACCCATGGAGAATCAAAGGGACGACATTCTTTGAAGACTGATACAGAGCAAGTTAGAGCACAAGCCCACTGTCTGCCTCTGCTCTGGCCTGGAGAAGCTCTTTGGATCCAAACCAGCAAAATCTATAAGATTTTGAGTCCTTCACTCCACTGGTTCTGGGATTGTAAATTCAAGAAAGAATCCAGGCCCTCTGTTTTTAGTTTTGAATTTTTTTTTTCCTTAACTACCTGTCTAGCAGTATTTGTTCCAAGGCACTGTGACCACATTCACTCAAAACTCATTTAATACTACTCTAATATATATATACAAGTGTATATTACCTATAGTGAACGGATTTTTCTGTGTTTTATCTACCACTCTGAATACTGATTGTGTTATTTCTTGCAGAGAAGCTGAAATTTTACTTGAAGATCTAATTTCAGGGCTGAATTCTGTTCTCATGTCAACGCAAACCCATTACTATAAATCCAACCCAGGCTTTGACAGACTACCCCAGTCACTTCTTGCTCACTGTTTCCACTGTTCACTGCAACATCTATAATCTGTGATTTGTAAAATAAACAAACCCCAGTAGATTATTTTGCTTGATTGAATAGCCACATTTATATATTGCATGAAAGATGTTTTACTTCTTCTATTTTTACTTGCTTATGTAATATTTGTGCAATTATAGTGGATTGCAAGAAATGTATTTAAAACTCCATTATAAAGCACTAATATTTAAGCTCTTCAAAAGGAATCTTATCTGTAAGAGCCAAATACTGTACTTGAGAAATAAGAGACATATTTTTTATCTGTTGTTTGAACTAAGAAAGGGTGGGGATATTTCTCAACCAATCACCCACTAAAATATTTCCAGATGGAATCACACCTGATAGTTTTACACTGAAGAGTTTAAACTACTTTCTGCACATATGTTTCATAATGCAACAACACAAAACATCTTCTTGACCTGTAATATGCTATGTTATATATCTTTTCTTTCACAGTTATGGTAATCTGTAACAGGGGTTCTTCTTGGAATGATCTCTTTAAGACACAGTTTTCTCAACATTTGTTTTAAATTACTCATTGCCTTTTAAAATTTTTTGTACTGCTTGTTTTAAAATTACTGTTCTGTTTGTTTTATCATGTCTCAAGGAAACACAAGCATGTACATGTAATAAAACTGTTATGATACTTGTTTGTGTGCTTTGCATGCTAGCTGACTAGGCAAGCAATTATGCTAATCTAGCTGCTAAATGTATTTATTGCTTGTGCTGCCTAAGCTACGGCCACACCTGTCTGCTCTATCTCATAACAAAACAGGAGAGTTCAGGAATAACAGTGTTTCTTAAATCCATGGAAAACTTTCTCGCAAAGTTCTTATCCAGTAGACCCTCTCAATCCCTAGTATCCCAGTCCCTAAATTTTTGATCTTTAAGATGTTTGATCAGTAAGTCAGCAGGTAGGGCTCACTGCTGAATCACAGACAGCATTTTGGATATTGCTATGACTGTTCTCCTGTCTTCCATGTATCCAGGAACTTGCTCTAAGAGGGTATGGAGAAATGCGACTAAGAAGAAGTTCAACCACATCATGTAGGCCATAATTGTGTGGAAAATTCTATGTTTCTGCTGTTTGTAAAAGGGTCTTCACTTTTAGTGGTGTAGTACAGAGGATTGGAAATCATGCTGCCAAGGAAGCCAGGACACTTTGTTTTCTTCACCTTTACACTTCATGCACTCATCAGATCTGCAGTCTCAGCTCTATCCTGAGCAAACCCAAGAGGCATGTGTGTGGGAGGTACTAAGACACAGGGTGAACAAGCA